TGACACTGAGTGTGAGACATAGCATGTGACACTGTGAGTGTGATATAGCGTGTGATACTGAGAATATTGAATGTAGTGTGTGACACAGCATGTGACACTGTATGTGACAGGGACAGTGTGACACAGAGTGTCTGGCACAGATAGCAGGTGACACTGAGTGTGTGTGATCACATGTAAAACTGTGACAGAGACAGTGTGTGACTCTGTGTGACACGCTCAGACACAGTGTGTGGCATTGAGTGTGACAGTGACACTGAGTGTGTGACATAGCATGTAACAATGAGTGTGACAGAACAGTGTGACAGCATGTGACAGCGTGGGGCATTGTGTGTGACAGACATGCCATGTGACGTAGCGTGTGACATGGGGAGTGTGTGACACTGTGTGTGACAGTGTGGCACAGTGTGACACTGTGTGACACCCACAAACCAATGTGTAACACTGAGCGTGTGACATCTTCAGACACAGAACGTCACAGCCTGTGTGTGACATAGCATGTCAGAGAACGTAAAACTGTGTGACACCCTCAGACACAGCCTGTGTCCCTGTGTGACATCCTACAGCCCCATGGGGGATTGAGGAGGAAGGCAAGACAGCCCAAAACTCATCCTGTTGCCTCTCAGGAGCTCTTGACACCCCCAAAACTAATCCTGCTGCCTTTTGGGGTTCCTGATACCCCCAAAACTCATCCTGCTGCCTCATGGGGTTCCTGACACCCCCAAAACTCATCCTGCTGCCTCATGGGGTTCCTGACACCCCAAAACTCCTCCTGCTGTCACCCTGCACAGGAGCACAGGGCCAACAACCTGCAGTCACCCTGGTGGGAGAGAAACCCCAATGCTCCCCCAAAACTGAAGAAGGTGAGGTTCACCTGTGCTTGTTTGTGTGTGTGAGAGAGAGAAAGTTGCTTCCACCCGCAATCCACACCTGGTAATCAGTGGAAGGGGGTGTTGAAACGCTTATCTGTGTGATAAAACACCTGGCAGCCCTAAAGGAGGAGGGAGGGTTCCCAGGATTTACAGCTGTGTGGGACAGCTCCCCACCCCAACACACACCCCAGAGCTGCTGAGGGGCAGCCGTGGATCAGCTCCAGGTGCCCCAGCACCTTTCCCAAGGGCTGAGGGCTGGTGTGGGATGGAGAGACTCCCAGAAACACACCCTGGCTTACTGGGGTGGGGTCACCTGTTTATGAGACACCCCCCTACTTTTTGCAACATGCCCAGGAGGGAGGAGGGCAGAGTGATAGTGCTGTCTTGGGGACATCTGGGTGGGCAGGGAGCTGATAGCTGCACCTCTGTCACCCCTGGGTGTGCACTGTCCCTTCTGGGTGTGCACTGTCCCCTCTGGGTGTGCAATGTCCCTGTGGTATTTTCAGGGAACACACCCCTGACAAGGGAAGGAATGATGAATCTGACTCCATGATATTAGAAGGCAAATTTATTATTTTATGATCTACATTGTATAAAAGAATGCTGTACTAAACTATGCTAAAGAATACAGAAAGGATACAGACAGAAGGTTAGAAAGATAATAATGAAAACTTGTGACTGTCTCTTCAGAGTCTGACACAGCTTGGCCCCAGTTGGCCACTGAGTCAAAACAATTCAGAGCAGAATCCAATGAAA